TCCAGGTGCATCGACAGCGGCGTCCACACGCCGCGGTGCGTGCCCCGCACGGGCCCGGCGAAGCGAGGCGCGGGGAGACGGCTGCCGCCCCACGGCGGGGGACCCTGCACTCACCGCGCTCCGCCCGAGGCTGCACGGCGGCCCCGCTCCCTCCGCGAACGACCCGGAGCGCCGGCCTCGGGGACGGGGCGGGGCTGGGGGCGGCACCCGGCGGGGGCGCCGCCCTCCCGCCACCGGGACGTGACCGCCCCGCTCACCCCCGTGGCTCCCCCTGCCCGCCGCGACTGCGCCCCTTACCGCGAGCGCCTGAGCCTCACCCTGGCCGGCTCTCAGCTCGGGCACCGCTGCGGTGGGGGCTCCGCGAGGCTCTGAAGGGACGGCTGGGTGCGGGCCGTCCTGGGCGCCAGGGCACGAGCCCAGGCGGGGCTCCTGAACATGACCCCTGCGTGAAAGGGCCGGGCCAGCAGAGGGAGGGGAGTGGGCGGGAGGTTCCCCCGCCAGCCACGTGGGGAGGTGGGCTCTGGACCCTTGGGCTTCCTGGGAGCTGCCGGAGGCTTGGGGTTCCAGGCGGAGGGCACGGCCTGGGCAGGCGAGCCCACGTGGGCATGTGCCCGCGAACAGAGGGCAGGGGAGGGGTGCCTGGGACCTGAGGGAGCAGACACTCAGGGCCAGAGCGAGCTTGGGGCTCTGTGAATAGCTACGATAGCTTACTAGATGAACTTTTAATTTTAGGGAACTTCCAGATTTGTGGCAAATCTGTGAAGCTAGTACCAAGACCGCTTGCATGTTTCGCCCCGTTTCCCCGTTCCTGACAGCTTATTGAGCGTGGGACGTGCTCACAGCTGTGAACATTATTTGTTAATCCCTTGGACTGTGACTGAGTCCCCAGGGAGGAGTTTGCATCCCACAAGGACACCACACGTCAGGACAAGTGGCCGCTTCGCAGCAGAGCTGAAACCCGGCTTCAGGACCAGCTGGCACAGGCTGCAGGTCGGCTCCGACACCTCCCTCCACGCAGGAATCCCTGCAGGATGAAGGCTACCCCGGCCTGGCCCACCGAGGGCTCCCCCAGCCCTACTGCACCACGAAAAGGCAAAGGCCCAGGCACACATATCAAAAGCTGTGTTTAATTGTAAGGTTCCAACAGAAGCAAGGCCAAAACTGCAAACTTCAGGAACTAACATCTGCCTTTGAATTCCTTGACATTTGTCAAACTTCCAAAACAGAGAGAAAAAAAAAAAGATTCCACACTCTTACACCGATGTACAAAATGGCTTAGAGGAAGGCGCAGTCCTTAGAGGAAGGGT